AGAAGATACCCAACAACAACAACAATTAAATTTGTATGGCTCCTTTTATGTCGGGAAGATGTCCCAAGGTGCTGGACAGTCAAGGTTTTGCACCCAAGCAAGGGGTTGGGATCAGGAGAGGTGGAGGGCAGGGAGGGTGGGGGTAGAAGGATGACCGAAGGCGAGGTCGAAGATTAGGGTCTTGGGATGGGCCTTGAAGGAGGCAAGAGATGGAATGAGGTGAAGGGACTATGGGATGGAGTTCCAAAGGGTGGGGGCAGAATTCTGAAGGTCCGATTGCCAATGGTGGGGCAGATCAGATGAAGGTCGTAGAGCTGACTAGAGTGCACTGAGCAAAGGAAGTGGACAAGTCAGTATAGATCCAACACCATTTAGATGACCAGCGGAAAATAAATATATCAGTGATAGTGATCCAACTCAAGCCAGACACCAACACAGGTATAAGGGCAACAACCATAGAAACTATACATTAGATTAAGAAAGACCCTCTTTTCCACCAGTCGAATGAGAAAAATGCTGTTGTTCCCAAGAATACTGCCAAGGCTGTGCTGATCTTTTAGCAAAAAGCAACAAAGATGTAAAAGTAACAGACATCATAAAGTCAAATTCAAATAAGGTTCTTAGATTAAAAAGGCTGAGTTAAATATGCCTGTGTTCTGTAAATGGAACAAGGATATAATCGTGTGTGCAAAATGACATATGCTTTTTACTCTAAGGATTTAAACATTCACCTCAGGTAAGTGTGGCAATCAAAGTTTTTAATACTAAATTGGTTAATTCTGCTCTGCAAAATTTTTTAGGCTTTAAATATTCTTGACTTCTCCTTTCTTCTTTTTCTGAAGTGATACCAATTGTGTCTGGAAACCAGTATGGCTCTGCAAATCGTCTATATTTGTCTAACTGCAATGTTTACTCAGTCAATCATAATTAAGCTGGTGTTAAACACTTTGGCACATTACCCTGTGTGAGGAGTGCTATAGCTCAGTGGTTAAGAGCACTCGCCTCACAAGCGAGAGACATGTGTTTGATTTCTGGCAGGGCAAAATGTTGGGCAAGTTTCCTTACTCCTTCCTCTGTTCACCTAGCAGTAAGTAGGAACTGGTGGTTAGTTGATTCCTTTTTTAAAAAATAATCACTCAATTCATGACCGTGTGTGGGACACTGCTGTGCCAAGTCTCGCCCACAAAATATACAGTCAATTCACCTCACAGTATATTCTGTGAAGCACTTTGAGACGTCTCGATGTGACAAGGCGTGATATCAAATTCAAGGATTATTATTATCATATAAATGCAAGTTGTTCTTATTAAATACAACAGACCTCAATATGCTCTGTTCCCACCGCCAGTTTGCACAACTGTTGTCTGTCTGATATTTTTACATTCAAGTCTTTTGAATGCACCACCGCATCCGCACCACAACTGGCACCGCCTTCCATCACCTCCGGAACATCGCCAGACTACGCCATTACCTCACCCCTCACGCTGCTGAAACCCTGGTTCACGCCTTTGTCACCTCAAGGCTGGACTACGTGAACTCTCTCCTCGCCGGCCTTCCCGCCACCTCCCTCCACAAGCTGCAGGTCATTCAGAACTCTGCAGCTCGTGTACTGTCCCGCACCAGGTTTCGCAACCACATCACTCCCACCCTCGCTCGCCTCCACTGGCTCCCCATCCCCCAGAGGATTGATTTTAAGATCCTCATCCTCACCTACAAGGCCATTCACGGCCTCGCTCCCTCCTACCTCTCCAACCTACTATCCCCCTACCTACCTGCCCGTACCCTCCGTTCCTCTGGCTCCGGTCTGCTCCACGTCCCCCGCCCCAACCGCCCTACCATCAGTGGTCGGGCCTTCAGCCTCTCAGCCCCGAGGCTCTGGAACTCCATCCCCCAGTGCCTTCGCCTTGCTTCCTCCCTTTCCTCCTTCAAGGCCGGTCTCAAAACCTTTCTCTTTGACCGAGCCTTCAGCTCCCCTCTCGACTCTCTTCCCCCTTCTCGCTCCCTCCCATCCCTCCCCTCACCCTGACCATTTCCCCCCTCCTCGCTCCCTCCCCTCCCCCTGACCATTTCCCCCCTGCTCGGGTCATGACCCAACTGTGCAGCGCCTTGGGACGTCCTCCTGACGTGAAAGGCGCTTTATAAATGGAATCTTGTTGTTGTTGTTGTTGTTGTTTTGATACAAAATCCTGCAATCCTAGCTTCGGCTCTGCACATACTCAGCTTTACTCAGCTGTCATCTGCTCCTTCTGAGAACACTGATCTTCAGCTGTATGCCTTCCCTATCATAATCTTCTCATACTAACACAATTGGTTACTGCACAAAGACCACTCCTCGTTTTCTTTAATGTTCATCACTCTGTCCTCCCCATATCTGAAGGTGAGCTTGATCCTACAAATTTTTGATCTTGAAACAAGACTGCTACCAGTGGAACCGAAGTGAGACAGTTATTCTAGTCAAAGGATGTGTAAACCTAAAGGATCCTGCTTACTGCTTTTCTACTACACTGCAAAGTTTATTGCCCTGTACTATATTATGCTTAAACTATAACTGTAATTGTGCTATCATGAAGTTCTGTAGCTCAGTGGTTAGCGCACATGCCTTGCAAGCGAGAGACCCGGGCTCGATTCCCGGCAGGGCGAAACCTTGGCCAAGTTTCCTTTCTCCACACACCTGATAATAATCCCTCAAGAAAAAAAAGCAATAATAAGTTGGTCACTTCAATCCATGACTATTTGTGGGATACTGCTGTGCGCAATTGGCTGCCCCGTTTCACCCACAAATATACAGTCAATTCACTTTACAGTATATTCTGTGAAGCGCTTTGAGACATCTAGAAAATGTGAAAAGCACCATATCAAATGCAAGGATTATTATTATTATTATTATGATTATCATTAAGAGCATTTGGGAGTTTCCTGTAACCTGTTCTAGTTGTTAATTACCCTCATGGTATTGCAATCTGTACCCCTAAATCTGGGTCCTCTTTATCTACTGGTTGGTTCATTTGAAAGTAATGTTCGTTATCTTCTCAGTCTTATTTAAAACTATACATATCTCTATAAGTTCCCTTCCAAGATATCTCTTTTCAAATTGAAGTGCCCTCGGTTATAATAATAATAATCTTCACATTTGATATAGTGCCTTATCACATCGTTGAGATGTCACAAAGAGTTTCACAGGATATACTGTAAAGTGGATTGACGATTGACTATGTATTTTTGTGGGAGAAAATTGACAGCCAATTACACACAGCAGTGTCGCACAAACAATCATGGATTGAATGACCACACACTTTTTTTCTGTGGAGGATTATTACCCGAAGAAGCGATCCACCAATCGACTAGCGACCGGGTTCCACCTATGCTAGGCAAGCAGAGGCATGTGGAATAAGGAAACTTGCCTAAGATTTTGCCCTGCCGGGAATCGAACCGGGGTCCTCTCACTTGTGAGGCGAGTGCTCTAACCACTATGCCACAGGATTCCATCCGTAGTGTAGTGGTTAGCCAACCTCCATTAGGTTGTCTAATTGTTGCTCATGTTTGACGGGGCAAAGTTCTTACCTGTTATTCTCCAATGCTACTTTATTTTGTTTAGAAAAAAAACAATATGATAACATTGAAATACGTGATCTTTAATGATAATTATAATATAATTTTTAAAACATGAAATATTTTTAAAGCAATGAGTGGTAAAACCCAAACTCAACAAAAGCAGTTTCTTTCATTCTTGGTATTAATTTGGCAACATTATTTATACAACCATATATGCGTTCACAACAATTCTTAAGCAATTATGATGTATGACATTTTAACTGTCAAAACAAAATTAGCTTTTTCTAAAAGTCTAGAAATTGGTCACTACTTCTTTGGAGACATTGCAAGTGAAACTAAGTTGATATCTTACAGAAAATTGCATTTTAGCACATAAAATTATAAGCCATTACACTAACACACTATTGGTATTTCCGGTCTGTTGATTGATGCATGCCACAGCATCCACCTCCACGAAATGATGTCAGTTGGACTGCTTCAAAACAAGAGCTTCTCAATTCAGTTTGAAAGGTGCCAATTGGAAAACACAACTTGCAATATTCAGAAATTTTGTGTGTGTGTGGTTGGGGAGGCTGTTTGTGTGTATGTTTGTGTGCTCTTTGTGTTTCTGCCGCCCGCATTTTTACCCGTACCAAACTCTGCTCCCCAATCACCGCAGTCCTTGCCAAAATGCATTGGCTGCCTGTCCCAGAGAGGATCGATTTCAAGATCCTCACTCTTGTCTTCAAATCCCTCCACACCTCTGCACCCCCCTACCTCTCTGACCTCCTCTCTCCTCACAACAGTGCCCGTTGCCTTCGCTCCACCGAGTTTGGCCTCTTCCTTGTCCCCCGAATCCTCTGCTCCACCATCGACAGCCGTGCCTTCAGCCACTAACCCCCGAGGCACTGGAACTCCCTTCCTCACTCCCTTCACCTCATCCCCTCTCTTCCTATTTTCAGGTCTCGGCTGAAGACCTTTCTTTTCAACCGTGCCTTTGGTCACCTTCCTCCCCTCCCCCTGGCTTGGCCCCGGGATCCGTCACTGTGAAGCGCTCTGAGACACCGACTGGCATGGAGGACGCTATATAAATCCAAGTGTGTGGGGACGGGTGGGAGGAGTGTGTGTGTATGTGTGGGTAGGGTGTGTGTGTGTGGTGAGGGAAGCTGTGTGTGTGTGTGGGGGGAGGCTATGTGTGTGGGTGGGGTTGTGGAGGGGGAGGTTATGTGTGTGGGATGGGTGGGGTGGGAGGGACAGGGCGGATCTCCAACAATACACTGGAGCCTGAAATTCCACCTACTCTGAGCCTGCACAACCGAGCAGGATGTAGAAATCTCCGCAATCCGTTTTTAATCCGGAATCCGGAATCTTTCTTTTTAACAAAGAACAACTGTAAAACAGTGACTCCATGTGGGTCAGCAGCCGTCATGTCAGGCTAGACTGCACAATGTTGAGTGTGTGCTGTGTGGGCGACAAGACAGCCTACGAAAACAAATGAAATTGAGGACACAATCCTAGTCCCTGCTCTGCTCAGGTGCTCTGTCCAAACTGGAAATGCTAAAGTCGGAAATCTAACTGTGTATCCTCTTGGTAGCTCTGATTTACAACCTGGTTGAACAATTTAAAGGATATAATTCATGAAGAGATCTGTAAATTTGGGGTGCTGATTTCACTCGATTGAATCTCGCTGGCAAGTCGCAACAGATAGCTGATGACAATATCTTTAGCCTTTGTAGTTTCCATATTCTGCTCTCGAGATATCTGCATGCTGATTTGGTCAACATTGCTCATTATAAGTTCTGATGCCATAATTTTTGTTGGTGATGCACTGTTCAACATGCTGTCCATCATGTACTGCTTGTACAGCTCCATGACTTTCTGTTCCAGGTAGTCATTGAGCACAGAGTTAGTAAGTGGCAGTGAATGCTGAATGATGCTTTTATCTTTACCGCTGCCAGCTCGCCAACAGCAAGTGTCACTATTGGCTGGCTTGTGCGGGAATTCAACGGACGATTTAGGAGACTCGGTTGGCAGTGGGATTTCTGAAGAATACAGGAAAGGGGCCACGTAAAATTCGTTACTGCTTTTGGAAGTCAAACCAGACGTTTCTAAACTGATTGGCATCACTTGATCGCCTGCAATCTGCAGGTCATTGTAATTGTCGCAAATACTTTTACAACAAGGAGGAACTAAATAGGTTTCTCTGGTGGCACTAGAGCTTCCTGGAATGTCTACAACATGTGATGTTTGTCTTTCAACTGGTGTTGTCTTCAAGACCTGTGGTGAAGGATTATCTTTTCTTTCCTGTAAACCCAGTATGAAGGATCTTCCGAAGGATTTGCACTTTTTAAGCAGTGAGAAGGCTCCATTTTGCATGTCAGATTGTGGAACGGGTGTTAAATTAGAAATCAAAGACATTTCATGCATCATGTTATTTTCTGGTGGGTTTGAGCGCTTCTGTTCCCCTTCTTCACTTCTGCTGTTACTAATTGATTCATTCCAGTAAGGGATTGCCAAGAGGAAACCTTCACTTAACATTGCTGTGAAAAGTAAACAAAGAAAAATAAACATGCAAATCGTATGTAAATCAACACTTGCAAATTGGAAAAAAATGTGTTAAGAATCAAGAATTTCCCCTAGCGATTCATATCCTGATATTAATAACGTTTTCCTGTCAGTGGAAGCTGTGAGTCTTATAATAGGAACTGAGTATGAGCCAGAGAAAAATAAGCAGGGAGACAAACATCTAAGTAGCCAAACAAAAGCTCTCTTCACTACCTGAGAACTTACAAGATAAACCTCGACACTCCAAAATCTTTCCAGCAGGTAGGCTGTGGAGGTCTGTCATTTTTAATTTGAAAATACAATTACAACAAAAAATTGCATATATTTATATATCTTTCATACCAGGAGAAAGTTCCAAAGCGCTGGACAGTGAAAGGTTTGCACCCGAGCTGGGGGCTGGAGTTAAGAGGGGAGGAGGGCAAGGAGGGTGAAGATGGGAAGATGACTGGAAGGTCTTGAGCTGAACTTTGAAGGAGGTAAGGGAGAGGGAGAGTTGAGGAAGAACTTCTTCACTCAAAGGGTGGTGAATGTATGGAACTCGCTACCCCAAAGGGCTGTTGACGCTCAGTCCTTGAACATATTCAAGACTGAGATAGATAGATTTCTTATAATAATAATAATAATAATCCTTGCATTTGATATAGCGCTTTTCACGTCGGGAGGACGTCCCAAAGCGCTTCACAGAACACACTGTAAAGTGAATTGACTGTATATTTGTGGGCGAACGCGGCAGCTAATTGCGCAGAGCAATGTCCCACAAACAGTCGTAGATTGAAAATGACCAATTTATTATTGTTTTTGGTTTTGGAGGGATTATTATTAGGCGTGTGGAGTAAGGAAATTTGCCGTCAGTGATGCTGTCAGTGCCTGAGGTGTGGAAGCGCTGATGGGAGCCGAGCAGGAGGGCCTTGCTCTTGACGATATTCAACTGGAGAAAATTGGTTCTCGTCCAGAACTTGATGTTTGACAGACACTCTGTCAGGACAGTAGTGATCCTGGAGCCGAGGATGGAGGCAGAGAGATAGAGTTGGGTATCATCTGCATACATGTGGAAGTTAACACAATGCCTGCAGATGATATCATTGAGCAGGAGATTGTGAATATTAAAATGGATGCAATCTAAGAGAAATAGAAGGAAAAAGTAAAACTTGTATTTCTTAAAAAGTGTAAAATCCACTACTGATTTCAACATTTTTAATGATAACATTTGGATCACAAATACAGTCACTGCACTTTACAGTGTAAAGCATAAAGTGCTTTGAGATGTCCTCCTGACTTGAGAGATGCTATATTAAATGTAAGGATTATTATTATTTCTGGTCTGTTTGGCTCACATTTTTACCAACTGTGAGCTATTGCAAAAACTGGAACTGTGAGCTGTTTACACCATTTTGTGAGGGAGTGTGAGAAAGGTGTTTATTATTATTTAATCAGAAGGAATTATTTTGTCTGCTAACAATGAACTGTGTAGTATATCAATACAAGATAAGTTTGGAAAGACCCTCTGAATTGTGACTGCCTGATTCAAGTTTCTTAGTGTTAGAAAATCTAAATAAGAGAAACTCGCTCGAATGGATTATATTGGTTCTTTAAAACTCAGAATCCCAATGCGTTAATACACTCGGTTAATTGCCCGCAGGCACGGCCATCGTCCCAACTATCTACTAGTTACGATCGTACTGGACACATAATTTCTGCGAGTACCACGGCCACTGTCCCAACTATCTACTAGTTACGGTCGTACCAGACTCCTAATTTCTGCAAGTACCACGGCCACCGTCCCAACTATTTACTAGTTACGGTCGTACCGGACTCCTAAACACATCAACTGCCGAGTATATTAATTCAGAGTATCCTGCCGAATTCCAAATTGTTAGAAAATAAAATCAGCCAAATCTGTAAGGAAATAACGCTAATTCCTTTAACCAGATATCAGACTGTTTCATTATTATTCGTTCGTTATTCCCCAATATCCCGATGGGTCAGACCAAAGGCCGGTACAATAAACTGATCTTATAACAGAACAATACCACCGTAGATATCTCGAGTTCAACACTCTTTACAGCACACAATCTTGATTCTTCATGCTTTCAGTCTTCTTGCTTACAGCTTTCAATCTTCCATCTAATATCCTCAGTCTTAGTGTTTCTAGCTCTCAGTCTTCCATCTCCTGTACCCTTGTCTCCGCAGCCCGGGATGGCCCCATCTACCGTATCCTTGTCTCCGTGACCCGGGATGGCCCCGTTCACAAAGTTAATGGAACTCTTATACCGATGTTCATCCAATCATGGTGCGGACATTAGATCACCTGCTGGATTCACGTGAACACCTCATGGGGTGTACGTGCCTCAGCGCACATACACATTGTCCTTAAGACACCTGTTATTTGATCTAATTGTCTAAGATAGAGGATTGATCAGTTTAGGGCTGTATCTGGTGCTCATTATTTTGTGGTGTGGGATCATTAGTACATTCCTTTTAAGTGACTGGTTATTTCTTATTGGTATCCCGGGATGGTACCAAGGTCCTCTAGTTTAAGCAACTTGCTCATTAGTTGTTATTCTTGAGGGTTGCCTTCTGTCGCTTGGCAGGTCCTGTCAGAATCTAGCGACTTATTGCTAAGTTGAGATCCTGTGTCGACTGGTACCTTGGACCGTTACCTCTGTGGCTTGTTGTCATTTACTGATAAGAGGTGACCCCCTGCCCCTGTCCGTTATTCTTTCAAAAACAGAGAAAAACAGATGTGTCCTATCCCATGACTGTCAGTCCAGTTGTCCCCCACACTTAACTTAAAAGTTAACCCATTCACAACATCTATTATGATTTTAACATTATACAAAAAGTGTAAATTCTAACATTAGGTGCTAACCAATATAGCATAATGAGCGAGAGAGAGAGAGTCCTGAGATCAAAGAGTTATACAGCTTAAAAATGAGACACTAGAATTAGTTTTAGTTCCTCGAAAATGTAAGAAATGGGAATAGTTAGAATTATATAGGATTATATTAGATAGAATGTACAGCACAGAAACAGGCCATTGACCATTAATCACATACGATCAGTAAAGGACTGTAAGAAAAACAAACACTAACTTGCAGTTATAGAGCACCTTTCATGCTATACAAAGGCAACAAGAGTGAAAACCTAGGCATGTGGGAAGTAGAGAAAGAGACTGAAGGCACGGTCGGAAAAGGCAAGTGGAGGGATGTTGGGAGATTTGAATGATGGGGTCTGATTTACAACTTCATGGCACATTCAAGAAAAAGGCACTGAGCAAACGTATATGGGAAATTTTCAACTTCTGCTTATTTAGTATCTAATTTAAACTGTCAATTGAATATAATTCATTTTACGCTGAAAATTCTGCTTCCAAACTAGATTAGTGAAGTGGCTGGAGACCACAGTGAATATAATAACATATTTTTCCTCCCAGGCTTGTCAGATTCATATAATACAGAGAATACGTGTGTTGAAGGTTCTGTCCTTCAGATGAGATGCTAAACCGAGGTCCCATGGCAATATTTGTAAAGAGAAGGGAGAGTTTCGCAGTATCCTGGCCAACAATTCCCCAGATAGTATTGGTCATTCATCTCTGTGTGTGTAGGACCGTGCTGTGAGCAAATTAGTTGCTGAGTTTTTCTACAAAATGCATAGTAATTACAGTAAAATCCTGTGTAGTGTTTCAAGATGTCCTTCTAAGGTGAAAGATACTACATCAAATGCAAGGTTTATATAATTATTATTATTAAAATCCTTATTATCTAAAATATTTCACATGTAAAATTCAAAACATTATTATGGTGTAATAGTGCAACTGATAACAACTTTACAAGGACGACTCATGACTTTTATGTTAGTAATGACCGAGAACACAGGAAAGTGCAGAGAAATCGTATGGGAGTATCAACAGACAAGTCATTTTGCTTGCTTTGCAGAGACATTAGCAAGTACTATTATTAGAATGCGTTTTGACAGTAATTTACTTGGACCATCAGTCTATCAAACGTTCAATTGATCATTCAGATCACATGCATGCTTACCTTAAAATAATGCACTTAATCTTGAAATTATCTCTAAAATCTTTAGTTGTTCATGAATGTTTCCTCGAAAATTTGTCTCCAAATTAATTCTATCAATTCAAAAGTTTGCAAGAGAAAAATCGACTAAACTTTAAACACTTGGTGGAAACAAGGTATTTTACTTGTTTAAATGTTGTTGTACCTTAGATACAAGTGCTTGATTGAAGAAGCTGAACGGCCAGTGAATGCTTTCTCTATATGTAGAAATTAAAGAGGAAGTCATCTGTGATCTCACATCTGGCAAGTTTCAGTCCTCTGTGTACGTCTCCTCTGAAATAGCTCAGAAGAACATGATACATTTCCTTCCTTATTTTAAAGATGTGGTAAAGATATTCATATATTTATATAGACAAAATTTCAAACCTTTACAAATATTACAGCATGATAAAAATGCCTTCGATATAATTTATCTTCTTCCAAAGAATCTTTTCCTGGTCAGGCTGTTACTTGTCACTGGTGAGTAATGCAAACTCAACAGACCAGCTGGGGTCCCCAACCCTTGGCTCTTGCCAACCCATGCTTAATACTCTGCAGCATTAGGTTAAAGCAGGGTGCACCCTCCAGGGAGAAAATACCAATTCCATTCCAGACACAGGGAAATTTCCATATGTAGGTGGTGTACATATATGGGACCCTCAATCTAGTTTGGATGCTCTTATGTATTGTGGTGACACATGTAAATGTCTGACCATTTGGCTGACCAAATGAAAAATCACTGGTACATAAAGGTAAGTCTTTAACCAGCAGGGTTGATGCTAATACCACAAATATTGCCTCTGTATGATTGATAAATTGCAGCTAATTTGTTATCAATTATTACAATATTCTAAATACTTCATTAAATACAGCTTCAAGAGATATTGTCTTAACTTAATTAATATCATGTATATTGTAGCTATGAGGCCAGAAACATGTAGAATATGCCTGTGGAAATTGTTAGTTTTGGACCCAAAGTTAGTGAGAGAAGGGGAAGAGTTCACACTCCAGGAATAAATGGAAAAGTGAATGTTCCATAACAGATTCAACAACACATTCCATAATTTTAGAATCTGGTATGAAACCTTGTATTTATCATCCTGTACTCCGAGAACAGAAACACTTAATCCCTTCATATTGTCCAAGAAAGATTAGTTTTCCTTTGGGCATTAACCTTAGAAATTAAAACTTTGATTTTATCATAATAATAATCCTTACATTTGGTATAACACCTTTCACGTCAGGAGGACGTCCCGAAGTATTCACAGGATGTACTGTAAAGTGGAGTAACTGAGTGGGTGAACAAGGCAGTCAATTTGCACACATGAATATCCCACAAACAACCATGAAGTGAATGATCATTCTACTGTAGGTGAAAAAGGATGTTAGAAAGGATCACAAGGAAGATAGAAAATTAACTGAATACCTCAGTGAAACTTCTAAATTAATTCATCAATATATAGGGAAGTAGATTAGATGAAAACTTTATTGAGGAAGTTAAACTGCCACTCTGAAGAGATTTAAAAATATATCACGCTTACTTTAAAAAAACTGTACTTTCAAGTCTGTTGTTGGGGTTAAGATTGAAGCAAGTAATATCACTGGAAATAATAATATTAAGAAAACAGTCAATAGTTATCATTGACTGCTCTCAGTGATGAACCTCTTCCCCCTCTTAAGACTAGAGACAACTATTGACTGCTTTTTGACTATTATTAGTCAATATAATTATAACTAGTGATACTTCCTTTTGTTATTTTGATCACAACAACTAAAACTTGCATTTATATAGCGCCCTTCATGCTGGGTAGCGTTCGTTCACATTGGGAGGACATCCCAGGCTACTTGGTTCCACTCCTCTCTGACTTTGATACATTTCCCCCAATAGCTTTTATGTTGTCCCCACTTGGAAAGCTGCTGTTTGTGCTAGAGCTCTATCCTTGATTCTTTCATATTTCTTATCTATATACTTCCCCTTGCAGACATGTGCAGGTAGAAAGACAGTTCCCATATGTATGCTGATGACCACACAACTCTATTTCTCCATTTTCACTCTCGATTCAAGGACCATGCTGTTCTGACAGCCTTACAGATATCAAGTCTGGATGAGCCTTAACTTCCATTAGCTGAACATTAACAATGAAACTTGAAGTGATCATGTTCAGCTCTTTCCAGCACCTCCTTACCTTGGCTCATTCAACAACCAAAAAATAACCTTGGCGTTTTATTTGACAACCCCCACCCCCAGTTCTGTGGTATAACAATTCACCAAAAACACTAATCCAGGCTGAGTACTGCAACCTGAAGGGCAATAGTTAACACTAATGATAAATAGTGTTTGGAGATAGCTTCTTATAGCCAATCAGGTTGTTTTGCGACCCATGGGAAGAGGAACATATAGAAGTTGCTTGTAGACGAGGTAAAAAAGAAACTTGAATCTAATACTGGGAAGACACACCAATCCCTTTAAGCGCATATCAAACCTTACACATGTGAACAGTTTGCATTGTTTTACTCATGCGCAGAATAGTGTAATTGTTGTAAGATAAGAAGTAATGATTACATTCAAACTAAAGCGCTCTGAGACGCCATCCGGCGTGGAGGGCACTATATAAATCCAAGGTGTTATTGTTGTAAATATAACACCATCTGGTGAAAGGAATAAATAACTAACCACAGTGCAACTATGAAACAGCACCATCTAGAGGTGGAAAGAACAATTATACTCAAGACTGTATAGATATAATAATAATCCTTGCATTGATATAGTGTTTTTCATGTCTTAGCAATGTCGCAAAGCGCTTCACAGAATAGACTGTAAAGTGAATTGACTGTATATTTGTGGGCGAAACGCGGCAGCCAATTGCGCACAGCAGAGTCCCACAAACAATCCTATGTTAAGACTTGAACTCACATTGTCTAAGTTTTAACACACCAATGCAGTGCTGTGGGGGTGGGGGGTTTGCATTTTCAGAGATGCTGTCTTTCGAATGAGATGTTAAACTAAGGTCTCACCTGCATGTTCAAGTGGACGGTAAAGATCCCTTGGCATTATTTGAAAAAAGAAGTGAGTTTCTCCCAGTGTCCTGGACAACTTTCTGGATCAGCATGTTTTCAGCCCAACGAGGAAGGAAGTAGTGCTGGATTTAGTTCTGGGAAATGGAGTGGGGTAAGTGGAACAGGTTTCAGTAGGAGAGCATCTGGATGACAGTGATCGCGATATCATTAGGCTTAGAATAGTTATGGAAAAGGACAACAATCAATCAAAGGTAAAGACTCTCAACTGGAAGCGGACTAATTTCAGTGAGCTAAAAAGGGACCTGGCCAAGATAGATTAGAAAGAAAGATTGGCAGGTAAGACAGCAAACGAACAATGGGAAGCCTTCAAGGAGGAGATAGTTCGGGGACAGAGCAAATACATTCCCACAAAGGGGAAAGGTAGGACAGTCAAATCTCTCTGGATGACTAAGGAAATTGGGAATAAAATAAAACAGAAAAAGGAGGCTTATGACAAATGTCAGGTCCAAAACACACAGGGTAATCAAATAGAATATAAGAAGTACAGAGGAGAAGTGAAAAGGGAAATAAGAGGGGCAAAGAGATTGTACGAGAAAAGATTATCAGGAAACATAAAAGGGACTCCTAAGTTATTTTATAAGCATATCGAGATTAAAAGGTTAATCAAAGGTAGGGTGGGTCCAATTAGGGACCCTAGTGGAAATCTTCTTGTTGAGGCAGAGGGCATGGCTGATGCACTAAATAAGTACTTTGCAACTGTCTTCAGAAAAGAAGACGATGCAACCAATGCCACAATATCGCAGGGGTGTGAACAGAAATTGGATATGATAAAAATCAACAGAGAGGAGGTACTGTCGGTGCTCAACAAAGATAGGAACATAGGAACATAGGAATTAGGAGCAGGAGTAGGCCATTCGGTCCCTTGAGCCTGCCCCGCCATTCAATAAGATCATGGCTGAACTTCATCTGCCCACCTTATCCCCATATCCCTTAATCCCGCTATCCTTTAGAAACCTATCAATCTTAGTTTTGAATATGTTCAAGGACTGAGCAACTACAGCCTTCTGGGGTAGAGAATTCCATAAATTCACTACCCTCTGAGGGAAGAAGTGTTTCCTCAAATCTGTTCGAAAAGGCTGACCCTTAATCTTAAGACTGTGACCCCTAATTCTAGATTCTCCTACCAGGGGAAACAGTCTCACACTGTCTACTCTGTCAAGTCCCATAAGAATCTTATATATTTCTATAAGATCACCCCTAATCCTTCTATATTCTAGAGAATATAGGCCTAGTTTATTCAACCTATCCTCATAGGTCAACCCCCTCATCCCAGAAACTAACCTAGTGCATCTATCCTGCAGATAAGTCATCAGGTCAGGACGGGATGCATCCTAGGTTACCAAGGGAAGCAAGGGTGGAAAAAGCGGAGGCTCTGGCCACAATCTTTCAATCCTCTTTGGACAATGGAGTGGTGCCAGAGGACTGGAAGGTTGCAAATGTTACTCTCCTGTACAAAAAGGGACAGAAGGATAAACCTGAGAACTCCAGGCCAATCAGCCGAACATCAGTAGTAGGGAAACTTCTGGAGACTATAATCCGGGACAATATAAATTCTCACTTAGAAAAATATGGTTTAATAAAGGACAGTCAACACAGATTTGTTAAAGGCAGATCGTGTCTGACAACTCTAATAGAATTTTTTGATGAAGTGACTGAGAGGGTGGATGAAGTTAGTGCAGTAGACGTAGTTTATCTAAATTTTCAAAAGGCATTTGACAAAGTGCCATATAAGAGACTTATAAACAAAATAGAAGCCCACGGTATTAAAGGGACTGTGGCAACATGGATCCAGAATTGGTTAGGAGACAGAAAGCAAAGAGTGGTAGGAAATGGTTGCTTTTCTGACTCGAGGGAGGTGTGTAGTGGTGTCCCTCAGGGGTCGGTATTCGGACTCCTGCCCTTTCTGATCTATATTAATGATTTGGACCTGGATATAGGGAGCACAATTTCCAAATTTGCAGATGATACTAAACTAGGAAAAGTAGTTAATAGTGAGGAGGATAGCACCAGACTCCAAGAGGACTTAGACAGATTGATAAAATGGGCAGAAACGTAGCAAATGAGGTTTAATGTGGAAAAATGCGAAGTGTTTTGGTAGGAAGAATGAGGAGAGGCAGTATAAG